ATTTTTCTATTAAAAAGCCCATATATGTTTACATGAGGAAGGTTTTTGTTCTATTCCTTTTAAGACTAACTCTGGGGTCCCTGCAGCTCTAACGTTCTGCACCCACAGGTCCCCACCAGGCCCTGATTAGCCTTGTGCTAAGATAGAGGTTCTCACCTTGACTTCATCTTAGAATCACATAGAAGCTTGTAAAAATCTCAATGATGCCCAGGCCTCACCCCAGACCAATTCAATCAGAACCTCTGAGCTTGGAGCCCAGAGACAAGCAATGTGGTAAAGCCCCCCAGACGATTCCTGGACGTACCGGAGTTGAGAGTGGCTGTTCCAGGCAGAGCCCAGAGGAAGCCCTGAGCTCTGTGGGCTGGTCCTTGTCTCCCCGGGGAGGGCTATAGGAGAAGCCAGGATGGAGTCTTGCCTCAGCGAAAGAAGACAAGACGAGAGCTGAGGGAGGTTGCAGAGAATGGGTAATTACGCTGACTAATGGTTCCAGCTCCTTCCCAGGGGCGGGGAGTGGGCGTGGGAGGAGTGTCCAGCGGGAAGTGCTGTCATGCTGGGCCAGGCCTCAGGAGGGGTTCTCTGTGAGCTCGGCTGCTGAGGAAACAGGAAGCTCGTCTGGAGCTGGATCGCCTCCCACAGGTCCCAGGTACTCACACAGGCACACACCCGCACACTCACACACACAACACAGGCCACACACACTCACACACAGATGCATACGTACATACACACGTTCACACACACATTTGCACACCCCCTACAAACATACAAACTCACATACACATAGACAACATCCCACACACATACACACAAACACACACACTCATGAATCTGCACACATACATACACTCACATATGTAAATATAAAAATACACCTTTATGTATAGATGCACACATACATACTTCCACACACATACTCTCCACACACACACACTCACTCTTACATCCACACTTACACACATCTTTTTTGTTCCACAAGAAAGAGAAAAATCAAATTTTACGATAAATGAACCTCAGCCCTTGCCTGGTCCAATTCTGACATCTTACATGTGAGGAAACGAAGCTCTGGAGAGGGTCAAGGAGTGTAAGACGCTTTCTTGGTCCTGGTCAACTCTCCTTAGCTCTAGAAGGTATATTAGAAGGATTTTTTTTTTTTTTTAAAGAATCTCTTTCGCCAAAAAAATGTTACTGAGGACTTTTCTCTTGGTTGGCAAGAGAGAAGGGGCACTTATGCCCTCTCTTCCTAAGCAACTTGTCCAGCAAATGGGGTGATAATCCTTCCAACTCCCTGGGTCCCAGTGAGGATTAACTAAGATGCTTTGTGCAAAGGGGCCAGGGCCTTTCCCAGAGGTTCTAGAGGAAGCACAGCTGGCCAATTCAAAGGTTTCTCTGTTGAGGGGGATGGATGGGCTGAACAGAGACACAGAGATGTGAAGGCAGAGCAGGGGAAGGGAGGAGGGACCCCTGGCTGTGTGGCAGAATGGCATTTGAGAGTGAGGTCACCGGGAACACTCTGTTTATATGCTGTCTGTGCACTTCATGTTTGCTATGTGACCTGCTAATTAAACCTCCACACGCACCTGGGTGGTGAGAGTACTGCTGGTATTTCAGGTGCCCCCAGGAGGGCTGGGAAGGGGGTGGGCAGTGGGGAAAGCGAGGACCTGTTAACCTGTCAGAACTGAAATTAAAAAAATCTGTCTCATTACCCTTTAAGTTATAAACGCAACGCATGTGTGTTGCGAATAATTTCCAGTCATACAGAAGTCACTCGCTCTTCCTCCATCCTTACCTCTGTTTCACTCAGCAGAGGGAACACTGTTAGAATTGTTGTGTCATCCAGACACTTTTCTACCTGGATCTGCAAGTGTAGATATAAATCCATAAATAGATGTTTGATTTTTAAAAAATGAATCATACTCTAGGTCCTGTAACTTGCTTTTGTAAACCTAACAATAAATCATGGACATTTTTCCATGTCATTGACACCCATTTCTGAAATAGAATCCACACCAGGAAAGGCAAGGTAAGCATTTAATCATGGACATTTTTCCATGTCATGCGTATCCACTCTGAAATAGAATCCACACAAGGAAAGGCAAGAAAGGCATTTAATCATGGACATTTTTCCATGTCATCGATACCCACTCTGAAATAGAATCCACGAAAGGAAAGGCAAGATAGGCATTTGATTCTTTTACTTATTAATTGGCAAAATAATGTGATGGTGCCCTCCATAGGCACCTCCAAAGGCAATCAATGGGTTTTTCGAGTATTTTTTTGTTCGTTTGTTTGAGTACCATTTTGAACTCAAAGATTTTTATACATTCATTCTGCTTCCATTTATTGCAATCATTGTTTATTGATTGGTTCATTGATTGATGCTCAAATTCTTCCACCTTTTGCCACAGGAGCCTGCTTTTTTTTTTTTTTTAAGATTTTATTTATTTATTTATTTTCCCCCCAAAGCCCCAGTAGATAGTTGTATGTCGTAGTTGCACGTCCTTCTAGTTGCTGTATGTGGGATGTGGCCTCAGCCTGGCCGGAGAAGCGGTGCATCGGTGCGCGCCCGGGATCCGAACCCAGGCCGCCAGTAGCAGAGCGCGCGCACCCAACCGCTAAGCCACGGGGCCGGCCCGGGAGCCTTCTTTAGTTGACTCTCGGGTCCTTTCAACAGACCTGGTAGTCTTTGATGGCTTCCTTGCTTTAAGGCTGGACAAGATGTCCCAAGCTAATCTTGTACATTTCCTTCTCCAGACCTAGAATCAAAGATCCCTGATTCCCTTAGTAGCAAATAATATTTAGAGACCCCGATCTAGGGGGTAGGTGTACACATTGCTACTGGGTTGGTTTTTTTCGTTACTGACATGATAAGCATTTAGGTTCATTAGTTTCAGTTTTATTTGTATATTTTAGAGATCATTTTGTGTTATTTTTCTTTTTTTGCTTTTGTTTTTTAAAAAAATGTAAAATGTTTACATTTTCTGGTCAAAACTACAAAACAAGATACATTCAGACAAGTCTAGATTTCTTGCTTTTTTCATCCCTCCTGTTCTATCCCTTCTCTTATAGGGAAGCATTTTTAATTAATGTTTGGTTTATTCTTCTGTTATTTATATTTGAAAATATAGCAAATATGCATATGTATTTATCATTTACACACACATATATAATTTTTTGTGTGTGTGTGAGGAAGATCAGCCCCGAGCTAACATCCACGCCAATCCTCCTCTTTTTGCTGAGGAAGACCAGCTCTGAGCTAACATCTATTGCCAATCCTTCTCCTTTTTTTTTCCTCTTTTCTCCCCAAAGCCCCAGTAGATAGCTGTATGTCATAGTTGCACAGCCTTCTAGTTGCTGTATGTGGGACACTGCCTCAGCATGGCCGGACAAGTGGTGCGTTGGTGCGCACCCGGGATCCGAGCCCGGGGCGCCAGCAGCGGAGCGCACTCACTTGACTGCTAAGCCACAGGGCCAGCCCCTCACACACGTATATATTTACACAAAAGATAACATATTGTACATTCTCTTCTGTACGGAGAAAGGTGGTAGCTGAGCAAAGGGACTCTGGGACCACCTTACCACTTCAGCCAGAGCAGCCACACTTCTGTTCTACATATTTGGCATCCATATCAAATTTGGTCTGAAAAATGGTTCCCACTACTAAAAGAAAAATCCCAAGAGAAAATGGCCACAAGTTAACCCAAACCCACTGATCTGAGAGAGGCAGTTTGGATGGCACATGCTTCATGTTAACTTTGCTAGGCTGGGGAAGTCTTACTGCTTGGGGTTGCCTCAGCTTGAGTCCCAAGAAAACCCTTGTGGGAGGAAAAATCCTCATCCATTCAACAGTTGGGCAAAGGATCTGATCAGTCATTTTTTTCCATGCCTTCATTTGAGGGAATCTATTATGCACATTTATGAAACATCTTTAACTCTGAGTAAGGGGACAAGAAAATACAAACAAAGGAAACTGAAGCAGCTGCTAGAGTTTGAAGCAAGCTGACATTTTGCATTGCGTATGTAAAATTAAACGTGTTTTCCAGATGGGGTATTGAATTAGCTCAAGAACTGGCAGCCCAAGGGAAAGGAGGTATGCAGGCTGACTTTCTTTTGCTATTTGCCATACCCTCTTCTGCCACCTGGAAAATTACTCTTGCTTGTGAAAGTGCACAGGCAGCTGGCATGAATTCTGTGCATACAAAGACTTATGCCACGCACACGTGCAGGCCTCACTGGACCTGTCATGGCTGTACGTCTGGTGCCTGGTTCTTAGTAAGTGCTCAGTAAATATGTTTAGAATGGATGGATGAATGCAAATATTCCTCTCCATCCTCATGAACCAAATGGAAAGGGGTCAGAAACTTAGGTCATCACTCTGAAAAGATTTTGTTATGGGCTGGATTGTGCCCCCCCCCACCCAATCATATGTTGAAGGGGTAAACCCCCCAGGACCTAAGAATGTGTCTGTATTTGGAGAGAGAGTCTCTAAAGAGCTGATTAAGGTAAAATGATGTCATACGGGTTGGCCCTAATCCAATAGGACTGGTGTCCTTGTAAGAAGAGATTAGGACAGAGACCTGCATGCGCACAGAGGAAAGGCCGTGTGAGGAACACAGGGAGCAGACAGCCATCTACAAGCCAAGGAGAGAGACCTCAGAAGAAACCAGACCTGCTGACACCTGGATCTTGGACTTCCAGCCTCTAGAACTGTGAGAAAAGAAAATTCTGTTGTTTAAGTAACCTACCCTGTGGTATTTTGTTATGGCAGCCCTAGAAAACTAACACAATTGCAATCTAGGCGATATCAAAGAAACATTTTATATGGATAGCATTTCCATTCTCACATCATATAAGCCACAAGGGAATCGTTCTGAGTATGTGTTCCATGATGCTGGGAAATCCAAAGTGTATCTCTGGGACTGGCCCCGCTGTAAGAAAGCCCTTTATGAGGTCATCATGCCACTCTGGCCAGATCTCCGCAGAGCGAGACATGCAAGCTTCTAAAGACACTTGAGGAGCCACCATGCCTCACTTTGCAAACCCTCTTTTAAGAAACATCATTGGCAGAAATCTATTTGACAGCATCAAGAGGAAGCAATGCCTCCAATATTTGAAAACCCTGAGAACACTGCAATATGATGGATTTAAGACCGTGTATTTTGGGGAAACCGACATCCCTGAAAGTCTTGTAACTGGGGAAGATTTCAGCGATGGATATTTCATGCAGACTCCAACGTGGTGTATTGTGCATGCTGGTGGTCGTCAAGGATGGGTGCCTTGGAAATATCGAATGTTCCTAAGAGATGAGTTATGCATCAAACAAGAAGACAGCCTCTTTTTCGAGTTCTGTGATGCAGCGAAGAAGGCCTACGGGAAGTGTGCCATTGTGGTCAAAGAAAGAAGGCTTCAGGATGAGATGAGGCCAAAGGAAGACAAAGAGTCCGAGGCCCAGGCCCATGTCCTATCGGTCACTAACTTAACAAGCATCATATGTTGCCCTGAGGTGGCCAAGTCCTGTGGTCACGAACTACTCTCTCTGCCTTCCTCTTACAATTACCTGAACCCTTTAGACTCAGCCTGGTCTTCTCTGAAATGGTTTATCATCAATAACAGAAAGGAGTTTTGTTTGCAGTCCATTGACAATGTCTATTCTTACCAGTATATACTTTTCAGCGATTTAATTAGCAAAGGGATTGACAGGATAAACCCAAGCAAATGGAAAACACTAACTAACAAAGTCCGGAGGTGGGAAAACTACTATCTTGGTAAATTTTCTTAATGGTCATTCCTCCAACAAGTGGTGGGATCGTGCCACAGGCATGGTCTTTAGCAACTGCATTGGGCTCGATTCTGGACCACTGCAGCCAAAGATACTCCAACATCGACCTCACAGGGATGCTGTGAGGACTGAGGTTGTTAAGGGTGTTGGCAAAATGCCTTAGGTTTACCGAATGTTTTATTAAAGCTTGTTGGTAAATTAGGGATCTTGACTTCCGTCTTGTTAAGGCCACTCAGGGCTATGTCAGTTGGAGGATTAGAGCTAACCTAGCCTAGAGGAGCTTGGCGGTGAGCAAAGCTAAAGGTTGTGTGGTCAAAATTTCAGTCTGAGGAACAAAGAGGACCAAGTGTGTAGTCACAAAAAAGTTGAAATTAAGTAGCGTGCCAACCAGTTTCAGCCCACCAATGTAATCCACAGGGAGCCAGCTTGCCATCAGCTGGAGATGTGGTCCCGACGGGGGCTGAACATGCTCTCTCCTTCCCACTGCTTGAAAGCAAGGCAGCAGAGGGTGAGCAAGAAGCATCCAAGGAGGTGAAACCCCATCCAGACCCTCCCAGGCTAGTTGGTGGTCCTAATAAGGAACCGGGAAAGCTATGGTGCAAATGGGATGTGGTGGGTGAACAGGTGGAGTGAACGGGGTCCTACAGAACCCACTTAGCCAATCCATCTCCCTTCCCAACCCCAAGAAGCCCAACAAGAGGTCATAGACCTTGTCATGGAGTTGCATCTTGGGACCCCGATAGCTGAGGCCTCTACAGCTGCTACAATAGCACCCTATTCCAGTCTGGAGCTACTGCTGATGTAGGTTGCAAGGATTTATGGGGATATTTTTCACTTTTATAGAAAAAGGCCTGCCTCCTATTAGACATATCATGAAGTGCACTCTTGTTCATATATGTTCAGGCAGTAATTTCACAATAGAAGTAATCCCTCCGGGGTGTGTCAAAAATAACTTCTGAACATTTCTGCCCAACTCCTAACAGACTTGCCCACTTATAAGATTACGAGGCCAGGTTCTTGCTGACCAAGTGCAGAAGGCATCAGATTCTTTGCTTGTCTCCCCATTGGCCGTGCTTTCCTCCTGAACCTCCCCAGATTATTCAGAAAAGCTTTGTCTAATGAAATAGATGTTCAATGCTTTTCAGCAACTAAGTGGTGGACTTCTGCAGTATTTTGCTATCATGCATTTTATCTGGGGATGAATTGCACCTACAACTGCCAACCTCTCAGAATCAGGCAGTGTCAATTGTTGCACATCCCACTTGATAGCCAACGTGCTGTATTAGCTTCTCGTGGCTGCTGTAACAAATTACCACAAACTTAGTGGCTTAAAACAACAGAAACTTATTCTCTCCCAGTTCTTGAGTTCTTAAGTCCAAAATCAGTTCCACTGAGCCAAAATCAAGGTGTCAGCTGGGCCACGCTCCCTCCAGGGGCTCTAAGGGACAATCCATTCCTTCCCTCTTCTAGCTTCTGGTGGCTGCTGGCATTCCCTGGCTTGTGGTCACATCACTCCAATCTCTGCTTCCCTGGCCACATGACATTCTCCTCTTCTGTGTCAAATCTCCCTCTTATAAGGAAGTTCGTGATTGCATTTAGGGCCCACTTGGATAATCCAGAATCTTCTCCCCATCTCTCAATCCTTAACTTAATCACATCTGCAAAGATTCTTTTTCCAAATAAGGTAACATTCACAGGGTCCAGGGATTAGGACCTGGGGACCATTATTCAGCTGCCCACAAGTGCTAAAGAAAATCTGCTTCTGCCAACTGAAATACTGCACTCCCCATTGGCAGTGAACCTGGTACGATAACTTTCATCTTGTGGGACATTTGTGTGGGCTTTTTCACTACCTGTGTCACATATGTTTTAGAATTTAAGTTCCTCGAGAGCAAGTAATAGGACTCAAACCTTCCTGGTGACTTCAATGCACTGGCCCCGTGCAGGCCCAAGTGTGGGTGGCCTGGGTTTGGGGACATGAGTGCATTTTGCCTCTATATCACATTTATCACAACCTACCCCAAGTTCTGTAGTAATAAGCACTCACAGCAACACCTGCTTAACTCATTTAGTCCTCACAGCAGCCTGTGATGTAGGAACTACTGTCTTCTCCATTTTTAGATGGGGTAAACTGAAGCACAGAGATTATGTAACTTGCTCCTGTGCAGAGGAGCTAAGGTTCAAATCCAGAGTTCACACTTAGAACCATTATTCACGCTGCCTCTCTACTAACGAGCAGCTCATTGCATCCTTATTACAACTCCATCAGGTCGGTTCTAGCATCTTCCCATTTTACAGATGAGGAAACTGAGACCTCGAGTGGTCACTCAGCCCGTCAGATTCTAAAGCCCATGAGCCTAACCACCAAGCCTGGCTTAATCATTGCAGCCCAGCTTTTTCCTTTTCACTCCCACAGTCCACATGGCCTAAGGCCCACCTCTGACCTCAGATGAGACATCAGCTAGCAAAGTGGCCATCTCCACCTGGACACTGCAATGAAGAAAATGGTTTTCAACACAAAATCGAGGAAGAGGCGGAATACCTTTTAAAGACACGTTATTTGGCAGTGAGAAAACAATGGAAGGTTTTTAGGTTATCAGATGAACAAGATAAACCAACAGGAGCTATTTGCGTTTGAAAACCAAAAAGGTCTAATAAGTCGAGTTTCGGGTTCTGTTCCTTTGAGACCTTGTTTAATGGTTAGGCAGGCAAGTAGAGGAAGAGAGATCAAAAGGACCACCTTTAATGTGAGATTTGGTTATATAATATTGTATTCACAATTAAGAAATGCTGCTTTACACTCAGCATGGAGACTTCCAGCAGAAAGTATTGGAAAGTGCGCTGGGCGTTGGGGATTGGATGGACTTTGTCAGAATCTCAAGTTTCCAGCTTATTAACTATGAGATTTGGGACAAGTTACTTTACTTTCCTGAGGTTCAATTAACTCACTGGTAAACTAGGGTTGAGGGCTTTAAAATGCTTAGCACACGCCAACCCACTGCATCATGTCTGGTCCCTCCTGAGCGCTTAGTAAACCGAAGCTTGTGTTATTATCACCCAGCCTGAGGTTCCAGCAAGTGTGTCTACAATTAGACCTAACATCGCTAACCTCATTTCCTTTTCACTCTTTGAGGAAAAATCTTGCTTCTTCTTATCATCAGGGCATAATAAGAGTAGACACATCTTAAGATACTTTGATCAAAGGAAACTTTGTTCTCTGGCATTTCTTTTAAGACCATCTGTGATCGGTTAGGGAATTAATGATAATGAAAGGTTTCTTCTGGTGGAGTGGACAGGGAGGATGGTGAGCATGGCCCAGAATCTCCTGGGGAGCAGCCATGTGTTGCACTTGTATGAAGTAAACAGTGGGTGACAATGACAGCAACCCTGCCTGTGTGGACACGTCCTCTGGAAGAGACTTTATGATGTTGGTGGTACTATTCTCCTGAGCGATTGGCTGATGGAACTCCCATCCTCTCTGGCTCTTGCCGTCACCAACAATCACATCCCCACTCCCTTCCCACGGGCCAGGGGGACTCCTGAGAAGCTGGTGGTGTGCTGGAATTTGGTGCTGCCCCAGAAAGAGCCCAGAGGTGAAGACTCAAAGGGAGCCAGATGCCCCTGGCTCTGGCCTTGTCCAACCGAGAAGGTCCAATCACAACTGGGTTGATGGAGCCATGCCCGGCCAGTCAGGGAGCTGAGCTGCCCACCCAGGCCACACACACTCCTTCCATGTGTGATTGTTTTACGCATACAAATCATTTTTCCATACTTGACCTCATTCAGTTCAGACAACCACGCTGTACAAAGGCAGAGCAGTGATCGCGAAGCTCATTTTATAAATGAAGACAAGGCCAGGCAGTAACTGACTCACCTGGGGGCATGCACGCCTGTAGTGATGGGAGGCTTAGGACTAGAACCCATGACTTCCTATCAGGAAACCCTTGCACCCCTCTCTAGCTGGCTCTGTGCGTCAATTAGGGTTTGGTCAGACTATGCGTACCGGAGATGTAACCACAGCGATTTAAACAAAATAGAAGGTACCCCAACCCCACCACCAAAAACAAGAAGTGCCAAGATGGCAGTTCAGGGTTGATAGGATGGATCCATGATCATCAAGAACCCAGAGTCCTATCTTTTCCCTCCACTGTCCTAGACTTGCTTCTTTCCTCAAAGTCATCTCATGGTCCAAAAGGGCAGCTAAACAAGCCATTGCATTAGCATTCCAGGCAGCAGAGGAGAATGGGAGGAAAAAGGGCTCATCTCTTTCCTTTTAAGAGGCCTTTCAGAAAGTCTCAAACAACACTTCCACTTAAATTTCATTGGCCAGACTTAGTCGCAAGGGAAGCCAGGAAATGTAGTCTTTTATTTTGGGTGGCAATGTGGCCAGCTAAAAATCAGGGTTCTATTACTAGTGAGAAGAGGAGAAGGGATATTTAGGTGGCAATGGCCACACTCCCCGCTTCCCTTCCTTTTGGTGCTACCACTCGTCCACTCATCAAACAGGGGTACCAAAGAAAATAAGCTTGGGCTCTCAAGGTGGTCACAGTCTGGTGGGGGGCTACCTCTTGGTCAGCGAGAGGTTGGAGGTCTGGGTAGTGAGGGCTCAGAGTCCAGGGCCTGGTGCTAGGGAGATGGGGGCAGAGCCACAGGGAGAGGTGACACAGGAGCAGAGGCCAGAGGAAGAGCGGGGACTTCCTCTTGGGGGGAAAGGAGGGAAAGAGGAGGGCCCACGCGGGCAGAAGCTTGCACAAGTGTACAGAGGCTACCCACTTCCCCGGGCACAGGGTGTGAGTGCGTGTGTGTGTGTGTGTGTGTGTGTGAGAATGTGTAAGTTGTGTGTGTGTCGGGTGGAGAGTGGGGAGCAGAGTGAGAAATGAAGCAGAATGAAAGGAAGAGCGCAGTGGGACAGGGACGGGATGGAACAGAAAGCAACAGTGTGCTGCATGAGGAGGCACTGGGGCCCTATTCTAGAGGGACAGGAAACCCTGGAGGGTGTTGAGCAGGAAAACGCCTTTTCAGTTTGGGATGGGGAAGCACAGCTCTTCCCCCCGGGGAGTCCAGTCCTGGCTAAACCCTGTGTGACGTTCAGGCCGGACCGCAGGCAGTTAACAGGCTGTACCAGCAGGGCTCTCGGGGGAAGCCGCCTCCCCACAGCAGAGGTGGTGGCAGCCAGGGCCCTGTGGTCTCTGAGGGGAGCTGCGGTCAGGACTCAGGCCGGCCGGCCACGCCCTTACACACCTGTGCTCCCTGCCCCGCCTTCACTCCTGGCTCTCCAGCTGAGGCCTTGGCCCAGGTCTTCAGGCTCCTCTGCTGACACCTCCTGATGGCGGCAGGGGGACACCTTGAACATACTTTGCCCCACTGCGACTCAGAACCTGGTACTTTTCCTCTCCCAGTCCTTCCTGTTTGCTTCCCACCCCCACCCCAGGGTCCATAAAACTGCTGGAGCCTTCTGTCGGGGCTCAGTCAACGGTGACACGGTGAC